ATACTTCGAAGCTCCGTATCCTATTCATTTAGACATCGGATAATGGCGAGAAGCTCTTTATCATGTATTGGATAGTTACATTCGGCCTGGAGGCTTTACTTGGAGAAATAGGCCAAGGGTTTAAGAGTTCCTTCTTCATCATACTGTGATAGTACACCACCTACAGCCCAATTTGATGCATCTGGTTCAAGAACAGTCTGGCGATCGGGATCAAACGTCGCTAGAATGGGGTCCTGTACAAATAGCTCTCTCAAATGTTCGAAAGCATGTCTACACTTTTCATCAAATACCAAAGGAATATCTCTGTGTGTCAGCTGTGTAAGTGGGACTATAAGGTGGGAATATCCTTTGATAAACGTGCGGTAAAAATTAGCAAATCCAAGAAACCCTCTTACGCCCTTAACTGTTTTTGGAACCTCCCATTCATGTATAGCTTTAATTTTCTCAGGATCCATGTGGATTGCGTGTTCTAAATCTATGATTTATCCCAGGTATTTTGTGCGCCGTACTTCGAATTTGCACTTTGTAATATCGAGTGTGAGGCCACCCTCTCGTAAGATACTTAGTACTTTCTTGACTTTATCTCAATGATCTTCCTGGGAACCCTTTGAATAGATCAAAATGTCGTCTATGTATGCCGTGCAGAAGTCGTCGAGATTTTTTCGCAGAAGCCAATTGATATACCTTTGAAATGTTTCAGGCGCTCCTGTAAGTCCAAAGGGGACCACATTCCACTCATAGAGCCCATACCTTGTACTAAAAGCGGTTTTACATTCCTCTCCTTTTAATATTCGAATTTGATGAAATGCTTGACTAACATCAAGTTTCGTCAACCACTTAGAATCAGTTAGAGTCCTTAAAGTTTCTCGTATCAGCGGTAGCGGATAACGATCTTTTTTAGTGATTGCATTAAGTGCTCTATAATCAACGCAAAATCGAACACCACAGTTAGCCTTTTACGAAGAGTATAGGAGCCGCAGCCGATGACTTGCTCACACGAATAATATCTTTTTCCAAAAGCTCGGTCAGTGTTTTCCTTAGTACTAACAATTCATCTCGGGAGTAACTTTACATTGAACACCAGGGCACGAATTTATCTTCTCCATTCTCATCTTTCTCTAGAGGCATATGATGGTCAATTTCGGTTCTATGAGGAGGGAGCTTGTTTGCTTCCTCTCGTTGGAAATTAACCACAAATTCCGGTCCTAACCAGTTGGGCATATAATCTACTAGGTCTACATCCTTTTTTGGCGCCAAAGCTTTATCAATGTCTGCAAGCGTTACCGCATATGCCTGGATGCTTGAGTGAGATGATTGTTGTTGTTTAACTAAGGCAGCATAGGTTTTCGGGCTTATTAATGTTGGACGACTTTGTACTTTTGAAAGACGTAACTTATTTGGAACAATGTGACCTGACTTTTCAAACTCTAGAGCTTCGGCAGCTTCATTTACGTAAACCCAATTGTGTACAAGAAGGGCACGTCCAAACATCATGCTCTGGGTCTGATATGGCACGATATATGCCCATATTTCTTTTTTAAATCCGGCGAGATCTACAGTAAATTTTGCAGCTTGTGTAATAGTAGAATGAGCTCCTGCTATGAAGCCTTCTATTTTTCTGGCTTTGGTATTTACAGTCTGCGGATTATGTTTTCTTATAAATTTATCATTAACACTGGTGTAAGATTGGCAACTGTTGTCAACAAGAACTTCTTCACATTGCACTTCATTAAGAATAGCATCAATCAACAATAATGGTATTTCCATTTTTGTTCTAAATTCACACCATTCTTGCTGCAATGTTTTAATTGGCTCTTGTCTCCTCCAATTATCTTATCTCCGGAGCTCCGCAGCACGACTTTGCGGCGGAGCTACTCATTTTCCGAAAGTCCTTCGTAATTTCTCACTTCAATTTCCGGCTCTACCATTATAATTGCTGGATCCGCTCTTCTAATAACCCTGTGGTTATTGATGGGTCCCAGTCTTTCATTTACTGGTTGCAGATATGGAAAATTTCGCTGATAATGACGACTACTTCCACATTGCACACAACAGCCTGCATCACGCCTCGCTTGTAAAGTCTCCCTGGATACCCTTTGTACACTAGGTCGCTGATTGGGAGCACTGGTCGCTTGAGCTTGATTATTAATGGTTGGCATCCAGTCCATTGGCGTATGAGCCTCACTGATTGCTGCAGACGGTTCAGGAATCCATGTAGGCACTCGTGATCTGGTTCGTCTTCCGTGTAACCTCTTCGTTTGCTATTGCTGAGGCTGCAGTTTGAAGATCAAGAATGAGATCTTCATACTGTGAGTTATTCTTGGTCTTTGGGAGACAATCACGGAAACGAGAGTTTAAGGCCGTACGTAAGAACATAACCTTTATTGCATCCACCATACAAGCCCCTGCATTTGCCAACTCTTTCTCAAACTTGGGATAGAAATTTGCAAAGGATTCCCTTTCTTGCTGCTTCATGGACTTCAAATTTGTCAGCGCTTTTGTCTTTGCTGCAGGATCACCATATAGTTTTTCCATCTCTTGCAAAAGTCCCTCAAACGTTGCTGTCCCTGCTTTCAAATTCTGAGATACCCATGGTGTGACGTTTTTCGCAGCTGTATCTTTAAGCTTATTGAATACAGCATAAAACTGAACCATTGGATCTGGTCCACTCGATATAGCTCTGCCATAGGCCTGTAATTGCCATGTAGGCCATATGGATCTATCTGCGCCGGTGAACTCTACTAGATCGGTTCTAGCAGCTGATTGTGATGAAGAATCTGTTTGAGTTTGATGGATGACAGACTTTACAATGAGATTTCCTAAAACCGTTCGTATGCCCGCTTGTTCTTCATGAGTTCTTTGGAGTGAAGTTGTGAGTTCCTGCAATGTATGAATATAATTTCCAGCTGTAACGGCTGCTAAGCCTAAGGATTCCTGTAGCCTACGCTGGCAAGCGCAGGCAATGATACCAAAGGAATCTTTGGGGAACTTCGGAAAGTATCTCGAAATACCCGGAGCTTAGAGGATTCCCAATGAACCTTCTTGAAGCATACTAGAGGTTCATGAGGGCGACGGGAGTGTCGAGAATCTTCTATCGAGTTGTCGAAGTTTCCAAGCACTTCTGGCTATACAGGGAATCTTATAGAAGGGTATTATCATAGATTCTATATATATATTTGTAGTCTAGCTGTAGGAATTCTCTCCTAAGAGAATTATAATTAATATACTATTCTTACAAGATCGCCCAAGCATTATATACTGAAACCGTGACACCAGCCAATCCTTCTGGTTGTAAAGGTTGATGTGAACTATGGCCTTGGCCACTCATCTTGATTAAACTCTTGGTAAAATAGTTTATTCTTCGCTTCGCTTAGTTTCGTTACTCTGTTCGTTCGTTTTGTTTCGATATAACTGTCGCTCGATACTGTTCAATTTCCGATGATGGTTTTTAAGTTTTAGGGAGATTAAATAAAATGCCAGAGGAAAGCTAAGAATGATATAGTTGGGTCTGAATCATGAGCTATACCCAATTTAGAGAAAGAAAGTTCTACTTACACGAAATTATCATACAAAATGTGTGCCGAGGCCGGAAGAATATCAGCCGAGCCTAACCAGATCAAGATGAGTATGTTTAGGCGAGCGTATGCTTAGTAAAGTTCACTATCGTTACACGTGTCATACATTAAGTAGGTATTTGACACAGGAGCCATATGGCACGGTAATGCTTGTTTATAGCTATCAACACTTACCATAGGTAAACGAATGCTACTATTCACAAGGTACAGTGAGAGTGCCGAAACCATGGAATGGATCCGGCTCTTCATGCTAGATCCAGACTGACTGGCGGATATGGAATCATTATAATGCATGCGTAGATGGAGATATGAGAGCCCCCTAAGCGCTGGGACAAGTCTAGCACTAGATTGTATCGAAATTAAACAAGCGCCTCATTACGCAATCTCATGTTTCATTCTCCTCCTCTGCATACAGACACCATGAAGACAATCTAGTCGCAGACGATCATGCAGAATAATTACGATGAACAATGATCTTAGGGGCATTAACTATGAGAGGAAGACAAATAATTATTCTACAAGGCTTGCTGAATACCAAGTGGAATGATGATGGACAACTGTCAAGTCAAATTGATAACAAATAGAAGGGTTAAGATCATAGACTAGACATCGCATCTTTCCATACACTTGTACACTGGATATCTATGAAAGCCTTAGCTTTTCGGCCCTTGCTTTAGAGACAAAGGAATAGATCTCTAGCTTGCTTCCAACCACGGTGCATATATATCCCTAGCAAGGTCTGTGAGAATCCAGGTCGCTCCCAAGGGACTAAATGTGCATGTAGGATAGCGTCGGAATACTTACGTGGCATTTCGGATAACTCGTTACTAGTCAACATTATTAGTTATCATTTCAAAAGTAATACTTGAACGATCATTGAGTCATTAGGTGGTTTAATAGATAGCGACAGTGCATTGAAGTTGGCAAGATCTGCTTACAAATCAAGTTTATCTCCTATCCAATAATATATTATCTAGATCAAGCGGTTGTGCGGTAGATATAATATTGCATTCTTTTCGGACAATTTGAGATGATGCATTCGGCCCAACGCGAAAACAGTAATTTAGTTTGTAGAATTTACCCTCGCCTTCTCTTTATAACTTCTTTGGCACCCTTGATATCTATTTTACAGCTTCATCATTCAATGTACCACGTCAATCTAAATGAAATTATATTGTCATCCTATACTTGTAGGCTATTCAACGGTTCGAAAGCTCGGGATAATGTGGTGTATAAAATAGGGATTTCAAGGCACACTCATCTAACAATCTCGAGTATACCAAGAAGGTTAAGGGATGGTTTTACCTGTGAATCGTGACAGTAGGCACCGAAAAAACATTTATTTTAGATTCATTTCTATCATAAGGGTAGATTTAATTTATCTAAATGCATTGATTTAGAATCTATTATCAGGGAGTTGATCGATTATTCTTTCTCGTTTTGAACGATAGACCCCGGCACAGCATTTTCAGTCTCACCGTCAACTTTTTCTTTTTTGGCACTCAAATCCTCCTTCAAGAACGGGAAAGCTAAAACCTCCTTGATACTATAGTGATCGGTCAGAAACATTACCAAACGGTCGATACCCATTCCCCAGCCGCCAGTCGGAGGTAGACCATACTCGAGACTTGCGCAGAAGTTCTCGTCAATCAGCTGCGCCTCATCATCACCCTGCTCTTTTTGACGTGCCTGCTCCTCAAAGCGTAGACGCTGATCGAAGGGATCATTCAATTCTGTGTAGGCATTGACAATTTCTTTCTTGCAGACAAATGCCTCAAAACGTTCACAGAGACCCGGGTAGGATCGATGATATTTAGCGAGAGGTGACATCATCTGTGGATGACCAGTAATAAAGGTGGGGTTAATGCATTTTTCTTCAATAAACTCACCAACAAGCTTATCTAGCATTCGAGCATTGGTTAAGGGAGGTGAACATTCAACTTTCGTCTTCAGAAGTATCTGCTTTAAAAATTCATTAGTTTCAGCAGTGTGTAATTGATCCCCTGGCGGGAACTTTTCGCCTGTCGCTTCTTCTAGTGCTGGTATCATTTCTATCCGGCGCCATGGTGCCGCCCAATTGACTTCGAACTCTTCACCTTGCTGAGTGTGGAATTTGGTAGTGTATCCTCCTGTGATGTGTAAAACAAGTTCCGAAACAAGATCCTCGGTGATAACCATTATATCGTCAACGTCTGCGTAGGCCATATAGAATTCACAGGTGGTAAACTCTGGGTTGTGGGTTAGATCAATTCCTTCGTTTCGAAACTGGCGCCCCATTTCATAGACACGATTTAGCCCGCCTACGACAAGCATTTTCAGGTAAAGTTCAGGCGCAACACGCATAAACATATCCATGTTTAAATCATTGTGATGAGTTTTGAAGGGTTTAGCGGTGGCACCACCTGCTATAGAGTTCATCATAGGTGTCTCTACTTCAATGAAATCCATCTTATCGAGGTACCGTCTGATGTAGCTAATTATCTTTGAGCGTGTGATGAAGACTTTTCGAGTAGGATCATTCATGATCAGATCGAGGTAGCGCTTACGATGACGTTGTTCTTGATCCTTGAAGCCGTAGTACTCATCGGGCAATTGATGAAGACATGGCGTTAGTAGAGTAATTTCAGTCGCAAAGATTGAAAGCTCCCCTTCCTCACCCTTTTCGATCTTCCTAGCTGGTGCCGTACGTGCCGGAAACCCAACAATGCCAATTATATCACCGCGACGTAGATGCTCATGTTGTTCAGTGAACGATGGCTCTACTTTTTTTGCTTCCTGCAATTGGCACATCACTTGCACTTTGACACCTTCACTTCTTACGTCATAAAAGACAAGTTTGTTCCCACTCATTCTTTTATTATATATCCGGGCACCAAATCGAACTTCGACTCCCCTCTTTGCCTCTCCCGATTTAAGACTACCATATTGTTTGAAAAAATTCCTTAAATCATAATTTGTGTGAAATTTGTGAGGATATGGGTTTGGGTTCTTGGTCTGTCGAAGTTTGTTGATGTTGCGAGAGCGGATCTCAAAATATTGCTATCAAAGTACGTTACTACTCAAGCGCCTGACTGGTCTGGGAGCATGACAAACATTTGGGTTCAACTTTTTCTCGTCAGCTTCTGTGTTGTCGCTCTTGGCAGCGACTATTTTGACGGGAGCTGCAGCTTCGCGCTCTAATTTCTCTTCCTGCTTTTTGCGTTGTTTTTGGCGTTTTTTCAACTCAGTTTTCGAAACTTTCTCACCAGTGACCTCATCAAGATGTAGATTTGTATTGGCTTCAGTGTTGGGAACTTGGTCTGTCATGTTGGCGAGGTGTAATTCTTTGATGGTTCGGCGATGAAATTTTCACGAACGTTGTGGGCTATGATGTCGCTCTCGTCAAAATTTAGTCCGAGTGGGTAGTCGCAAACGTCACAGTGAACTCCTCATTCAAACATACTACTGCAAGATGTGATGATCTTTGAAGAAAAACCCTAAACCTAATGTGTGTACAGCTTGAATGGGATACCAACTCCTTATCATCCACCGACATCGAATGATTTTAACAAGTCTGGAGTATCAACACCACTAATCCACTTTCTTGCAACCACGAGGAAGCGTATCCGCAGAAGTTACATCATTCATACTCAACTGTAAAAATCGATTAAATTAACCAAACCATCGCCTTTGCTTGAATTTTGCGCGATTTGAAGCCCGATCTTGCCGAGCTAAAGCTAACGACCCCTCACTGCAAACTAGACAGGCGCCCAAGATGTACATAATACCTGCAGGATTGTCGAAACAGCATATAACTATTTCTATTTAACATTACCGACAGTCCGCTGTCCCTGGCTAACTAGCTACTTCTGAGGAAGTTTGCTGAGTCTTTCTGCCACGTTGCTGAAGAGAGCCTTGTACTTTACTACTCAGTGATAATAAATTCCATCACTTTGAGCCTTGAACCTGGCCAAAGTCTACTTGTTTTTTTTTCATTTTTAGCCAACGTACCAGGCAATTGGCCCTCTAGACACACCTACAGGGGCTTGATCACGAGCGGAGGCGGGCTGGGTCAGCTTGAATATCATTAGGTACAAATTTTTCTTTTCTCCTGAGTGATTGGAGGATCTCAGACTTCAACCGTGTGTTGAATCATGCCAAGCCCGACTTAAGAAAGCTTTATTGTTGAGCGGTAGAGATAAGGTAGAGATTTGAGAGTTGTAATGTATGAGATAACTGAGACTTGGATATCTAAGTTCCTTATTATTGTTGTTAGACTTTTTTTTTTTGCATCAGATTTTAATTGCGTATGCAGCTATCTAGCTATCACACCATATCAAAGAAAAGTACGGAAAAGATGACTCAATTTACAAGAGTAGCACTCATGCCTCGGGTTTCATTTGCAAGTACCACTGCGAAGTTATGGTGGCTTTTTTTTCACCCCAAGTCAACCCTCATCCGTGAATTCCCACCCAGGGGAATGTCTCAAAAACCCTGAGTTACCCAGACATGCCTCCGTCATCCATCAACTTTTCTCCGCGCGAAATGTAATCTGAGATGTCTCCTTCCCAAGTGGAGTAGGTGCCCAGGCTACTCAAACTATACCAGAGAACACCACCAGGAGGCGGATCACAACACCTTCCATCGTTTGTTTGTTTTTAAAGTGTTAGCTGCACTCTCGCAAGCGAAGTCTTGGCGCGCACAAAGCTCAATTCGTAAAACTGCTTGCCAAAATTCGGAATTTCACTCTCTTCAACTTTGTTTCCTTCCTTTGCATCATCTTGTAAATTTGTCCTGATCCCTCTCACGTCCATCCCAAAGAACTGTCTCCCAGATTTGTGCGCCACGCTTTGCTTCCTCTAGAGGGTATAAATATCGGCGTGGGCCTGTGTATGGTGACCGGCTGAGGCCAGAGAAAGTCGACAAGAGGTATAGTCATTGGGATGAGGTTTTACTAGGTCGTACTTGTAGACTTGATAGGCTTAGTTGAGAATCGGACTCTTTGGGAGTGAAAGATTGACATGGTGGAGTAGTTTGAATTTTTGCCTCGTGGGCCAACTTCTTTGATATTGCGAAATTTGACTGAACTCGGCTCTGGGAGAATATTTCACTCCCAGGTTCGTAGAGGACACCGCGTACAGGTGTTCAGTCTTGCCCTCCGACTGGGTACTTATTAAAGGCTGCTTTGAACAGTTCTAGCTTGCACAAGGTGTTGAGATAACAGCAAATGAAAGCATGAAGTGATCGGAAAAAGGGTAGGGCGGTATTCACACATGATGAATGGTGTAAGCGCACTCTCTGAAGGGGTCCCAGAAAACCAATAGACGTAAGATAGAGAGGATCAGAGATTTAAACGAGTTGTTTTCTTCGTTTGTAAACATTATAGCTTTACATACCTGCATACCCCGTCGTATTAAAACATGTGCTACCCACCAGCGGGCAAACAAGAAGCCCGCAAAAGCAAAGTAAAAGACCATCCCGCCTTTAAGAAAAGCAGATTTCGACTCATCAACAATGTTGTCTCTTCTAACTTACAATTACGGTTCTAATAGCAAGGAGGGCATCTGAAATATATGAGTTACTCGACAACCCCACATCCGTATAGACTTTTGCATGCTTAGCTAGACTCCTTCACGACAGTCACTCTCGACCAAGACTTTTTTGACATCCTCTCACGACCGTCGGTTTGTCCTACGGCATGAATCAAGGGAGGATTAAGGAGGAGGCTAGGAAGGTCAAGAGACGCTCTTAGCTATACACAGGTCTGCTGCGCCCAGGTGGCCGGCCTCTTCGTCATAGGAGAGCCCCGCACCCAGTGGTTTTGAGACTTTTCCCTGTAGCTACACACCCGCAAATGGCCATCGTTTCGTTGGCTGGAGAGGGGAGGTAAGGACGGGATAACGGCTCCTCATAGTATGAACTCTGATGAAGACCTCTGGGGGGTATTACTTCTAGAAAAAATCCGTCATAGAGGCATGGGAGGGAGTATACTACCCGAGGCATAGATACTCCTGACCTATAGGCAGAAAGGACCTACATGACCTTACGTAGTCATAGATTTCTTAGGACAATAAGCACATACACGTTGTCATAGCTAAATAGCTAAATAGCTGAATACAATATGATAATAAAAAAAAGCACATACACAAGAGGAAATTCTACAAATGCAGTGTTGAAAATATCGCGCAATGAAATGGCCGCAATATTCATGGAACGAAAGTAGAAGTTGACTAAATGAGAGTCATGTTCGGATTACGACTAGAAGCGTGGGAAGTGTGCGCTACAAGTTCAAGTGTAAGCGACACAGAGCCTAAGCCCCAGCATTATTCCATCAACTGGACATTTAATACTTTACTGTTCATCCTTCAAGAAACAAAGGAGGAAAGAGTTCAAAAACCTTTCACCATGCACACTTCCAATCTTATTCAACACAAATGTGGGGAAAACTTCGCTTCTAGAATATCTTTCAGCGACTGGCTGCCTTTCTAGGGATAGGGTTGAGGAAGATAGAAATCAACCAACTAATTAATCACAGCTTACTTATCAAGAATTTTCTTTGTATCACATTGTATATAAAAATGGTGGAATATAGAGGTGTCCGTGGTGAAAAGTTAATAATTGTACATAGTGTCATAGCTAGTTAGACTGCATACACTTAATGAATTAAAAAAAAAGCCCCAGCATAAACGAGTGTGGCGCCATCTAGGCGTAGAAACCCCCAATAACCTCCTTGCGCCCACGCTATATAGCCGCTCATATCTCCAATAGGTAGCGTGAAGTGCTACCATATTACCCATTCCAACCTCTTTAATACACACAAGATCGTGTCGCGAACTCAGACAAAATGGAGGGCCCATACGTCCACAGCACTTTTTGTCTCCATTTCCAGCACGGCCCCGCTCTTGTAAGGATAGTTGTACGATGTTTTGTAGAGAATTGGCTGTACTGCGCTATGATCTGCCTGTTCGAGACGGGTAGAAGGGATATTCTTGATTGAGTGCCGCGATTACGGAGTATCGAAGCCACTGTAGAGACGGTCACGCTGTAAATCAACTTGTCTCTGGCCGGATCAAGTCGGCTAGTGAACGCGCTGTGGACGAGTTCCTCTGGAGTGTCTCTGTATGCGCTGTTAGATGGCTAGCCTTTCCATCACACGCTGAACTAAGTCCAAGTCTTGAGGGCCGTTGATGCTCGGTGGATGAAGTAAGTCAGTAGGCCTTTCTGGCGCACTTTTTAGCACTCTCGGCCTGCTAGAGACCTGTCGGTAAAAGGATTATATTTGGACGATATGAATTGCTTTATGTAATTGCGGTGTTAAGGTTGTCGTTAGGAATCTGACAGGGATCTGACTTAGCTCATTAGCGAGGTGCTTGTAGTAGAGAAGGAAAAAGGGAGACGACTTTATATGTATTTCGAAATACCAGTTAATTGACCTTATTCACCGACTTCGTGACGGCACCCAATTTGTACTCGTATTTTACCAAGAAGGCCATTTTGACCTCACCTAGCATGAGATTTGGATGAGTTGGACGTCGCTCGGTACATTCAATCTGCACTGAGTGCTCGGGAAAGTCATTCGAGAATTCTCGCACTTCTGCGCGCGCGAGGGGGCGGAGGGAGTATGTTGTGTTCACTCTGGAAGGTTTGGCAAGGCATCATAGCCTGGTGAGTAGCTGAGCAGCTGCAATTCTATGGCAGCATAAACACTAATTGATCCACAACCAATCATCTTCTATCTCTGTAATCCAGCAATATGCGAGACCGAGGCACATATCATCAGTACTCTCGACGATCCGGGAGGCAGCCGCTTGCTATCGCGGGATGGAATGGAACTCGGCCGGCGGACATTGAGTGTCAGGTGTCACACCCGTCGGTCGATGGAAGAAGGGAGATGTTGATACAGCGCAAGGCTCGTACAGCAAATACCTCACGTCCGCCAGTCCAAAGCAAGTGACGGCTAAACCCCTACACTTCGCCTTGTCATTCTACATGACTCTTAGGGTTAACAAGGATAATTTATCTGCACATCCCCGGCTCCCTACGACTTTGGATGAAAAAGATAGGCTGCAAACCTTCTCGGCTTTCATCATTTATCGATGCAAGCCCAACCCAGTGTGAAAATAGTTTTCCCTAATTTTCTGCCGTGCCTTTACCACTCATGCGCCTCTAGTCTTGACGAGGCTATGGTACTATCGACTCGACTTTCAGTCGATGACGCAAACTTACGATGCATATGTCCTCCCCGGTATTTGGCCAAAATCTGAATTTTGTCCTGATGGTGGCAGGTTCAGCTCCGTATCCAATGGAAATTGACGTCTGGTTGAGAGACCGTGAACAGCGGTCGTTGTAGCAGAGAGAGGAAAAGCGCCATACCCGATGAATGAAGGGTGACATGAAAAAGATACAAATCGGCTGAATTAAATATACATCTTTCATAGGGGTATTCACTCATTCGGTGGTATCACTTTAACAGCTACATGTGTGCAAAACTACACAAATACCACACACGATGAGTAGATTTTAAGCATATCCAACGGCTTGTTTGTTCCTGTAGATGCTTATGTTCTGCATGTCAATCTTGAATACTACGAAAAGTATCATTTTCAATGCGGAGTGCTTTTGGCCATGTGAATGGCACTCTTTTTGCAAGAAAAGAGTATTAAAAGTCTCTGAACTTATCCAGCTTTAGATTCAACTCTGTACTAGCTGAAGAACGGTGCTTGTCCTGATACACGAACGAAACTACCGCGTAATTAGCTATCCCGAACGTCACGTTAGTGTTTACAGCAGGGTAGTCTCAATTCATTAAATAGGGATCTTGACTTTGACATGGAAAAGAATTTTTTCGAACCCTATCGTGTGGATTCCGAAAAAAATTGCTGCAGTTTTTCACAATTTACTTGAGCGTGGAATTGAGGTTTAATTTCCAAAACTATCAACAAACAAAACGCCAAACGCCCCTACAAGTGCTTTCATGACCTCAAACAATTGTTCTACAATTCTGTGCGCTGTATCCAAAAAGAATTATGCAGTTGCCCCGACTACCATAGCTTTTTCCTCCAAATTTGTCATCTCTTCGGCCCAATCTCGCGTCTGTCGCTGCTTTGGTGGTCCTAAGGAGACTTTCCTAGGTGTCGGCGTGACTTTAGCGGGGGTGGGAGTGGTAGAACCTGATTTCTGGGAAACCTCGTTGCGCACTAGAGAAGGAAGTGCGGGAAAATCGTGAGCACTCAAGGGCAGAGCTGTCACCTCCCTACTGATCGAATTGTTGGATGCACCATATCTACTGGGCATCTCAGGAGCTTTGCTATAGCGATAATTAGGTCGATAGGGTTTATATGATTTTGGTGAAGTCGATTCTGCCCTTGGTTTCGGTTGGCTTGCATATCTGCTTCCTGATAACCCGTCATTCGACGAGTTAGTTTTTGGTTTAGGTGGAATCGCATGTCGACTTTCGGCCAGCCCATCTAACTTCAATCCATCATATTCGATCTTAGGAGGATACTCGGTCACTCGAAGGTTCATAAAATCTTTTGGATTGTACTCTTCTATTATAGAGCGTTTTACAGGTTCTTTCACAGGCTGTTTAGTGGAATTTTCGATCAAGGTTCTTGTCTCTTTTATGGGCTGCTTCCGCGTTACTTCCACAGATTTTTTCACTGGCTGTTGCCCAGATACTTCCACAGATTCTTTCACAGGCTGTTTGGCAGGTTCTTTCACAGGTTCTTTCACAGGCTGTTTGGCAGGTTCTTTCACAGTCTGTTTAACAGCTTCTTTAATAGGCTGTTTAGCAGGTTCTTTCACAGTCTGTTTAACAGCTTCTTTAATAGGCTGTTTAGCAGGTTCTTTCACAGTCTGTTTAACAGCTTCTTTAATAGGCTGTTTAGCAGGTTCTTTCACAGTCTGTTTAACAGCTTCTTTAATAGACTGACTAGTAGGCTCTTTCATAGGTTCTTTCACGGGCTGTCCCCGAGATTCCTTAATTAGCATCTTTGCGGATTTTTCCATAGATTTCACAATAGAATCTTTAATAGTCTGTTCCCTATAATCTTTTACAGGATGTTTCGATATGGTTTCGATATAGTGTTTTAAGGAATCTTGCAACGGCTCATCTCTGCTGTCTTTTCCACTGTCCCACTCTCGTCCTCCCATCGATTTCATTTTTCGCTCGCGGTTCTTCTGACGCTCCTTTTCAAGCTCAATGCGTTGTGCAAGCTCCTTCTTCTGCTGTTCTCGGAATTTCCGTGCAATCTCCGCGTCCTGAGACTTAAACGCAGCTTGGTCGGCTTCTTGGAGGCGGTGTTTTTCTTCTTTTGATGCATTTAGTATTCTCATCTTTTCAAGCTTGGCAAAGAGTTCGGCCTCAGTGAGCTTGACTTTTGAGGGACCACCAGTGAGGGATCGGTCACCGCGAACCGCTGGTATTCGAGGCGGGTTGGGAGTGGCATTAGCAATAGATGGAGGAGCTTCAGATGATTTCTTGGTTGTTGTAGGCGTTGGATTTGAGCGCGATGCTGAGCTGCTAGAAGATTTAGCAGGGGTTCCCAAGTCACCGCCAGAAGCGAAGGAGGCCTTTTCCATTGCGAGTGGGTTTGGAGCATATCGACTAGTACTCAGTCCTTGTTTGGTACTTTTAGGCGTGGTATTACTGGTTGTAGTCACTGATGGATTCTGAGGCTCGGTAGGTGTGCATGGCAGCGATAATTGGTTAAATTTACCAGAAGATTCTGGACTTGTTGGTGTTACTGGATTTGTAATGACATAAGAGGTAGTTTCATATTCGTCGGCAAATAAATCGCCATCTTCTCGACTCTGCGCGAAGACGTCCATTATTTTAAAGTTAGTGTGGGCTAAAGGTTGCGATAATGGGGCAGAATAAGTGTAAGCTTAGCGTCACAGTAAAAAAGTTCGAATGACCCGATGGCTAGAATGGGCTAACGGTTGCGATAATGGAGTAGAATAAAATAAGTGTAAGCTTAGTGTTACAGTAGAAATGTTATAGAAGCCCAATGGCTAGAACGAGCAAACGGTTGCGATAATGGGGTAGAATAAAATAAGCGTAAGCTTAGTGTTACAGTAGAAATGTTTAAGTAACCCGGTGGCTGTAATGGGCGAAAGGTCGTGGTGTCGTGGTATCGTGGAATAGAATGGGTGTATGGTTGTGGTAGAAATGTTCGAGTAGCCCGGAGGCTAGAATGGGTGTATGGCTATTATTGGAGAAGCGCTGGAGCGATCCGGCGATTAATGGTGATGGTTGCGATGATGAGGCGGAATAGAATGGGTAAGGTTATGGTTGCGGTTGCGGTAGAAATGTTCGAGCGAGTCGCTGGTTGGTAGCCAGTAGCCAGTAGCCAGGTGTGTGTGAGCGAGAAGATAATTATAGTTTACCAAGTTGTTTGTGTAGTGTGAGAAAGTTCAGAAGGGAAAGGAGGAGGAGAGAGCTGAATATATAGAGCTGTGGACGAGAGAGCGGCGCTATTGGCGATGTTGACAAATCCTTGGCAGGCCACGAGGATGACTTGTGGCCAGGGCTAGTTTGGGCTAATGAACTGGAGGCCTAGCCTATTCCGTCCTAGCTTTGTTTACTCCAGCTCGGTCAAAGCTCAATGATCACGGGTTCAGGGTGGCCGGTTGATGCATGGGTTTACCTGTCACTGTCAAACCTGGCCCTACACGTGTACTGCCAATAGAGGAGCGACTGGGACTGTCCTCAAGAGCCCCGATTGCCCTCGGCTTCCGTCACAGCTCGAATATCGCGCGCGATTCGAGGGGATATTTGCACCAACTGTCCGTATGTTTTCCACCGAAAGGTTTCCCTTGAGCACATTGTGTAGACCAACGGTTTCCCATCGGAAACAGTTGCGGCCGATACCGAGACTGAGACACCTTGCGCGCACATGTCATTATTGGTTTGCAAGATCCTGGACCCTGCGACGGATTCCCTTTATCTCTAAAGCTGGGGAAAACCATAAGGCGACGACAAACCGACCAGTTCAGCAGCATTCGATACAAGTGGAACTTCAGATGGATCAAGGGACCTACTTGTCCATGGGGTGTGGCTAGCAGCACACTGTATTTAACTTCGGGCCACCAACGTTACTTACATGGTCCTAGTTGGAAAACGGGCAATTTACTCTGGCTCTGAAGATTGGTTTGTTGTATTCGTGTCAGGCCATCAACAGTGACAGCAAAGAGGAGATAGTTATGATAAATGTGAAAACTCCGACGCGCAACGCAGCTATATTTCACTGGCTGAGCTGTCCGTTCGCGTCGAGATTGAGACCACACGGCTCCAACCGGACGTTGATTTAAGCTTTCAGCCGCAGGACATCTCGCCGTCAATCGTCAAAAGAGACCTCTACTATTCCCGTGTCGATTCAAGGACCGTCACGCATGCAGGCCAATACCGACGATGCGCTTCATTCGCATACACATGAAACAAACGGCACGAAATAGCCAAGCCCAGGTCCCTGCGCAGGCAAAATATCAGTTTTTCCGATGTAATTATTTATCTTTATTTAACGTCTGGCGGATCACGCGTCAAGCGAGTAACCCTATTAAGTCCCTACTGAGACAAAAGACGCTCCGATGTAATTATATCACATGTAAATGGTTATCCTTTATGAGTTAGCTTACCATCACACGTGGTATTAGGGCTTATAATTATAGACGGTGAACTCGCTAAATCTTCATGCCTCCTTGCAATACAGTCTCGGCAACGTCACAAATGGAGAAGCGAGGAATATTCATGAGAGAGACTAAGCTCGCAATATATTTGTGAGGGCCGAGGATAATATAAGATGAGACAGGGAAAAACGACGCGATTTTGACATATTAATACTCTCATGAGTCAGCCGAGCCGATTTGACTTGTGATTGGAGAGTCGAACGAATAATCATCAATGGTCGCTCCCCTACCGATGCGCGAAAAATATCCGGGTGCTAGCCAGCTAAGTCTCTGCACATGAGTTTTCCAATATAGCCGTTTGACTGATGAATAATCGTCTACTTCTAGACTCTGGATATGTCTCGGGGCCGGCTGGCTCGGCCGCCACTTAAGCGAGGCGTGGCCCGTTAACGACAAGGCGGAGCTATCACGTCGGGTTGACTTGTCGTGCTGTTGTTAGCCTAGTCAGTGAGAAACTACTCTCCACCCGGCCGAGTGATTTCCGACGGTTTTCACCCTGCCTACTGACACAGTGTCGGATGTTCCTCAATTGTCGTTCTGATGGGTGTGCCCAGGCGCAGATCAGCGTACAGCCCGCTACGGTAGGGGTCACGGTGTAGCGGAGTAGCGCTGGCGGCTAGCCGCGGCTGGAGCACAGCGTGACTGAAACCCTTTCGCATATGCCGTAAATCGGGCTAGCGCCGCCCCAGAATAGGCTTAGGCGAGACCCTCGGGTCTCGCGGCATGACGTTATCATACCCCGCTGTTTTCTAGACACACACTTGACATACACTAGCGGGGCCGCCGGACGCTGCATGGCTCGGACACCCCAGATTCTAGATTGACCATGCCGTTATAGCCGACACGATCACGCTCAATTCGCCGCTCGAGCCCTGTCCAACGGTCACTATGTTCAGGGACGTCCCTTGTCATCTCGACTAGAGAAGCTGCGGTGACGAGGCATGTGTCCATGGCTTAGTCAAGTCCCACCCCAGCGCTTAGCGCCGCCGCAGCGGGCCAGCGATATCACGGACTTGTACTACCTCCGGCCTCCCATCTGTTGTCCGCGACGATGGTCACGACATGGGATGAGGATCGGTCTGGAGACGCCGGCCTCCCGCAGCTTGCCCCTACAGCAGCCTACCACCCTCTTGCACGCAGCTCGGCTTTCCAGCGCCACCCATTGAAGAATTACAATGTTGGCTCGAATAAATCAACCTTGCGACGTGCCAATTTCAGTGGGTCGAATCGAGTATCTCGTTTTGGGGCAAGGCGCAAGACTACGACGGTGCTAGCCTCACCAAGTCAACTAAATCGCCGCATTCCGCTTGTGGCCAGAATCACCAAGTGGCGCCACAGGTTTGGGATAGAGAGCTTTACATTTTCAGGCTACCTCACGCCTATTTCTCCTCCGTCATAGCTGCCTCTTTGTGTGCGACTCGTCTGCTTTGCTTGCCGTTACTACGCTCGTTTTACACGCATCCACTGATGTGCAACACAACGCTCTCAGTACCACAGCTCCTAAGTACCATCACTGACTCAGGCAAACACCAGATAACGCCTGGGCTAGGTTCGACTCAAACAAGCAGTTGGTTCTGATCTCTGATTCTACCTCTACATTCCAGAAAGTTGCAATATGAATCCAAAGTAAAAGACATCATAAGAACAAAACCCTTCGCCCCATTAAATGTTTCCTTCCGGAGCTCTTGGCAACCGTAGCGCTAACCAGACAAACCCATCAATAGTGAGACCCTAATTTTTCAAAATCATTATCTAATTATCCCCTACCTGCCATTCTCTGCTCCAGCACCACACTTAAATGTTGTAAATCATCCCTGGCTCTTTCGTCCTCTCGTAAGATTTCTCCAATCACATTCCACTCAACTTCTCGCATTTGATAGGCTTGGGGCATGAGAAAAGCGACCGTCGGAGCTTTAACATGGTCCCCCAAGATTCGCTTGGCTGCCTCTTCTCCCTGCCTTTGATCAATCTCACGTTGGACGTCGTCTGGTCTAAAGTTTTGGCTGGATACTTGAGCGGCCGGTGGTGGGCCAAGGGGTGACATTTGAGGTCCGGATCCGGTTACAGAAGCAGATCGATGTTGTCGCGGAACTGATGATCTTGAATCTGGATTGCTATCATTACCACGTTGATATAGCTGACTGTCTGGCCCTGGTTGCCATTCATTTCGTATAACTAGCGCTATAACAATCATGGGCTCCGCCCGCTGTTCAGGAATCTGGTGCCCCTCTAGATTGATTATAAAATCAGGAAGTTTTCCGGGTGTTGGGGGTACAGGAACAAGGTACGTATCCCGGATGTTTCCCACTCCCTTATTTGTAAGAACTCCATAGCGGGTGCGGTGTTGAAAGTAGTCATATAGATCGGTAAAGGCCTGGTCGTGTATATCGTTGGTAGAACTCAGTTTCACTACTACGAGATCAGTGGGTGGCGAGTAGCGAAGACTACAAAGGTATTCGTTGGCTTTCTCGTAATCTATCCGGCCGGCAATCTTGAGATCTTTGGCCAGCACATCTGACCATTGGATAGAAGTCATGGATTGGGTAATATCAACACCGCCAATGTGCCTAGCAATAGCCGGGAATTCAGCGACTGAGTCCATGGTAACTGTTCCTCTCCAAATTATTGTAGGATCTGAGTCATATTCAGCCGGAGAATATGGTGGTGACTCAATACCATCATCTTGTAATAGTTTATCAACCTCGGGGTCTTCGCCGGGGCCGTTGACTGGCAGTGCAACATTATTTGCCGCATGACGATGCTTGCTAGATGTTGGAGTTTGTACGCTATTGAATACCTTGTTGATATCAAAATTTTGTTGACCCGAAGCCTTTCGAGCAGGCGGCGAATCTAACGCTTGAATTTCGAGCGATTGTTTAGGCAATTTTTGACCTCGCACCTCGTCATGAGACTTGCGCTCAGCATTATTCGTAGGAGATTCAATCTGATTGGCAGGCGAGTTTTCTCTTGAGTGCCAATTTGTCTCTGAATTGGGATCTATCGTGCTCCGTTTTCGCGGCTTGGGCATAGAACTATCGTTTGAATCGGCGAAACTGTCTCCCTCAACAAGTTCCTCACCCTTGTGAGTTCGACGTACGCGGGGTCCATCTTCTGTTACCATAATGGATTGTTTGTCGGCACGCGCTTTCATCTCTTCCTTCTCCCTCTTAAGCTCCTTGCTAGCCATATCATCTGTACTCATCGCAGCCAGGGCTTGAGGGGAAAGTGACCTCGTTAATAGCCCTTCGCTGAGCTCTAGGTTGTGCTTAAGGTTACTAGCTATAGCACGCGATTGCTTAGCATACGCGGCTTTGTCAGGGTAAGCAACCTGAACAGCATTTTCCACAGCTATCGCTAGACGTTCAGCCTTTGCCTCCAGAGTATCATTGCTACCTAGAGTATAGATTCCTAATTTCATGGCTTGGGGAATGGTATGTAGCAAACTTTTTAGAAGTACTTTAGCCGCTCCTTGTCTCGATGGGTCAATCTCGTCAATTTTATCCGGCAGACCAGATATTGGAGAGTCTTGTCGCGGCTTCTGTGTTGTCGATAGTTTTCTAATTTTGGCTTGAGATTCCTTTATCCAAATCAGTTTTATAGGAGAGAGTAGGTCATCAGACAAACCTTTGCATCTTCATTATCTTGGACTTCGTCCCTAATTTTTCTTTTCGCGTTGTTATTTTTGGAGACTAATTTTTTCTCTACCGTTGTGGGTGTCGCAGAAGCCGCCTTCCCATTAACCGTAGTATCTGGATTTGGCTCGTTCGGTTTCTTGACCTTCTTCTTCCCCCTTTTTTTGGTACTGGGCTCTTCGATCTGGCTTTCTGCTTGCTCCTGCTCGTAAATTTTTCGTCTCTCTTCCCACAGTTTTTGCCCTCGCTTTATGCCGGCTAGAAGTTCTTTGTGATCTTGGGGTCGGCATTGCTCGCAGAAATACTGATCCGGTACATCTTCACCATACGAGCTGATTCCCATGCAGATATTGTGCTGCCAAGCATCGCAACTATCACACGCGATCCAAGGATCTTTATCGTCGTCGCCCGTCTCCACTGCACCGCAGACGCATCGGATTATTTCAGCAGGTTCTTCCTGCACCACCACTACAGCTTTCTTTCCAGATTTGGATTTTTTCTTTGAATCCGATGGCGGTTTAGTTGAGTCAGTCTTTGCGGTTTGGCCCTTGGTCGCGCGGGCCGATCTTCGATTTTCTTCTGTGTATGAAATTTCTGTTAGTGCATACTTCAAAACCAGTCGCGCATACGAGAGGCTGCTAAAGATAATGTAGTGCCATTACTTACCCGTCATAGTGTATAATAGTTTCAAAAATAATTTGTAGCGTCACGGCTCGCGGGGCTGTTACAAGGGACGGTATGTTGTTGATATCAATCAGCGCGTTTCTCACGCATTCATCGAATGGGCTCTACAAAAATGCTATTGTGATAAATGAGAGAGGACACGATGGAAAAGTCCCAAGTATGAGACTCTCACAACTCTCCAGGCAGCGTGATCTTCCCCCACACCCGTTCGGAGGCAGCAGCAGCAGCACAGCGGCCAGAAATAAAATTCTAGCCAGTGTAGATGTGTGTAAATAGCGTCGCCAGCTATATGCGACAATATTCCGATGAAGTGCCGATTTTTCAGGCGTTTGTGAATGGCGATGGTGGCTGATGCAGGAAAATCTTGTGCTAATTCATAAGTTGCGGAGATCACTAAATTCTCGTTGCGATCAGTCACGTGATGCCACCACAGTTGAGCTAGGTTAATATTAACGCACCTTTCTGCCGTGTGCGCAGGCGTAAGTCAATCGCGTTAATCAGATTTCACATCTGAATCCGACACTTTTTTCAATTGGCAAACTAGTATTACATTTCTTCCCTGATTTTATTCCCAAACATACTCAATCTGTCTCTCATACTCACTATCCCTTGGGCAGAATCCAGGAATTACGGTTATTAACACTTACATTAGCCAGATATAAAGTTAACTGAGTAACTGTAAATAAGCAAACTACAATGCCGCCAACAGTGAGATGACCTCGGGTTCTTGATAAATCCCCAAAATCAACCTCAACTGTAATGATAGTATGCTGGTATGTGCGCATGCATCATGGCCTTCGCCCACCGTCTTTTTCAGATCTGTTTACTAATATCGAGACATGCATGAAATAATATTTAGTATCTGTTTGAAACCTCAACCAACTTCTTTATGTTTACTACTCTCCCATGGTAGCGTGACGCAATTTCTTTGGCTCCTCCTGCAATTTTAGCATGAACTATGAGATGTTTTACCTGTATTATGGATGAGCGAAGATACTGCTTTCATGAGTAGTTTTTCTCGATACAGAAGTAGTTTGGAGGACATTGCCATATAGTATTGATGGGTATAATCTCGTGAATAGATCTTTCTAAAATATAATTGAGCATCGATATCACCAAAAGGATAGCGACGAAGAAGATTCCAACTTGAAAAGCTATCGCTGAGTGTCGAAGAAAACCGACTCGATGGAAATATAAAGTATTCGGAAACTTTGGCGATGAACTAATCGTTAGTTGGAGTAAGCGCTTGATGATCACAAGAAAACGAATTCAGACACCAATTTCGGGTCAGATTATTATCTTCAATCTCCCGTGTGGACCACCCAGAGGTTGTGTAGTGCGGTAGGTAGGTTTTGATGCATCCTCGTCTCATGTTCTTAATAAATAGAAATCTCGATGATCTTGATCAACATATTACTGACCACTTGGGGGTTTCTACAAGCGAAAATATTAGCGGCCAGGTCATGGGTATCTAGCTTACCAAGCTTAAACTGGCGGGTCCAAAGTGGCCGACGCGGCGAGGAACGGGAATTAACAGTTGTTTTTGTTCTAAATTTGACTTCGTGCCGATATCCGTGAAGAACAGGCCATAGATTGTAAACACAAACGGCAGAGGGAAGAGCGAGCGTGAATGGCTTCGTAAATTTCATGGTAATGAGGTGAAGCCTCAACACTTGTGGGCTGTGTCCCTACAAGCCTCTAGCTCCCCCGGTAGAGTCTTCGGAGCCGACATTGACTCCAACAAGATCTCCGGTTGGTCCCGAAGTGGATTATCTATCAGATTCAAAGGGAGCTAGAAAGTCGGAACGATCCTCTTGGCTACACACACATACAGCGCCCGACTAGCTGGCCGGCCTCTCGTATAATTTGAAAAGGGTAGCTATCTCTTTGGAACTAATCATAGTGCAGTCACTAATAGAGCCTTTCAATCGATAGCTTCTGCAAGTAGACATCTCAAGTGCATAATATGGCGAGGTAGAAATATGGAGAAAATGTTGTTCAGTCTTGGAGATAGTCTACGGCAGGCAAAATAAAGACTTCTTATTCACAACTTCCCAGCAGCGGAGCGACTTCCACTTCAGGTAGAAGGGAGCTGGGGCATTTTTCAAACCCATGTAGCTTAGTAGATACCGGTTAACAATTATCGAAACTGATGATCAAGCCACTCTCATGATACAGATAAATCAACGTTATGTAGGACCAATACTGAACTAACCCGATTTAACCAAAAAGTCATTACCTAAGCCACTAACACGTCTGTTGTGCATTTACCTAGCACGTAAATGTATCAGACAAGATAAGACAAGACGTCTGTTGTGCACTAGGATTAGTTTTTTTTTTTTTGCATCAGATTTTAATTGCGTATGCAGCTATCTAGCTATGACATAATATCAAAAAAAAGTACAGAATAGATGATTCAACGTAAAGGAAGAGCACTCATGCCTCGGGTTTCATTTGCAAGTACCACAGCGAAGTTATGGCAGCTTTTTCTTCACCCCAAGTCAACCCTCATCCGTGAATACCCACCCAGGGGTACGTCTCAAAAACCCTGAGTTATCCAGACATTCCTCCATCATCCATGAACTTTTCTCCGCGCGAAATTCAATCTGAGATGTCTCCTTCCCAAGTTCAGTAGATGCACAGGCTACTCAAACTACACCGGAGAACACCACCAGGAGGCGGACCACGGTACCTTCCATCGTCGGCTTGTTTTTATGGTGTCAGCTGCACTCACTAGGATCAGTATTTTATCGACGAAAGATTTCGATCCGTTCTGACCGCCATGAGCCCGCAAGTGGCCTTTGTTTCTTTGGTTGGACGGGAGTAATGATGGAGTGTAAAAGGCTACTCTGAGTATGTGATTGATTGAATATTTGGGAGTGATGATATTATCGGGAGGGAGCTGTGTAGGTAGCAAAGAAAAGATTATATTTTTTTTACATCCTATTTGAGTCTATGACAATCAATGAAGGAAAGATTATATTACTTAAGAGACAAGTAGTCTTGGCCTGTAGGTAGAAGAGGCCTACATGTTTTGTACAATTATAAATGAGGCAGGACAGAGATTGTGAAACATATAAGCCAACCTTACAATCTTCTAGGTAGGACTGTCGGAGTAATTTATCTGGCGGATGTGAATTGGAGTCTTTTTTTTTTAATTCATTTTATTGTCCTGTCTGAGTCTATTGAATTGGAGTCTGTGGCCCCTGCATTGCGTTGACCGATTTTGACATGGGGATTCTGGCGTCCGGATAAATCATTTTCCGAAGGTAAGCTATTTTACGATTTCATGACATCAGGATAACACAATACATAAGTGAGCCATGAGTACCCATTTCTTCCGAACAATCTTTCACACTACTTGTGGGAATAATCTCTTAAATTTGAGTGGAGCGATGGACGTTTAGTGTATTACCTTTGTCGTACCAATAGGGACCGTGACCAACCTCCCGGAAATGGTTCACATGTGATTACAGCGATGGATGGTATTCAACTATTGTTGAACTTACTCCCTATTTTTGAAGCTATCTGCTAGATGAAATGGGTCGAAACCAAAGATTAAAGTGACTAGCGCTTTTATGAAAGTCTCCAGGCGGGATAGAAGCTATGAGGAATGGTGTCATCAAATCCAAAGGTGGGCCTGGTAGCTTAGGGAGAAGTCACATGAGCTAGTCTTCCAAGTAGAATCTGAATAGTTTGGTCGCTTGAAATCTAGCAAGACTTCAGCGCACTCCCCTCGGCACTAGTGTATAGGATGATGAAAGCTTTTAGCCACATATGGGATAGATACTCACGGGGGGAGGTTGACTGTTCGGCGTAAGCAAACGTGCTTCGTAGTGGTATTTGCGGGTGCAGTCTGGACTATGGGTATATCTCATCTCTAAAGACTCATCCCAAGGGTACACATTAATTTGACCACGTGTCGTAGTTAGAAGTCTAAATACACTAAAATGATGTGGGAGATACCTGAGGCACACCATATACGAATGTGGGCTCTTTTTTTTAATTTTTAATTTTTTAATCCATAGTGTATTCAGCTATCTAGCTATGACACATTTAAAATACATAGATCTAGCCTTCCCCTCCTTATAAATCACTACCCCTTCATTCCAAATTTAACATTTCCCAATTATTTGTCCTAATTTAACTCCCTTTATGTGCTGCCATGCACTTGGATGTATCCAAATATCTTAATAATGCTTCCTTCCCTCTTTTTGTACAAAACAAGGTCGGAAGTGTTCTTGGCTCTATGCCCTTGAAGCATCTGCTTCTCTGGTCTTTGAATTTTGGACAGTGTAACAACAGGTGCTGCACATTTTGCCTTTCTTTTCCACAAAAATTACATGACTTATCTTGAACCTTTCCTATCATGTGCAAGTAGACCCTGGTATTAGCTACTCCTAGCCGAATGTGGGCTCATCTCGGCTTAGAAATCCACCAACAAACTGCTTGTGCCCGAACCATGCAAGTGCTTGTGCATCCTTGGGAGGCTCTCTATGCGACCTTGTCACACATTGTTACCCCTATATTGTGCACAAAATCATGTCGAGAACCTTGGTCAGATGGGCGGCGTAAAAGTCCAAGCCACTGTGAGGTATGATTTGTCTTGTTTATCAAGATGCTAGGCAATTGGCACTATCAGTACGAGTAGGGCCAGGCTGGAACAGGGTGACTACCATTAAGAATGTTGGCCTCGTTCCACCTCAGACTTCACCCGTGTGTTTAACATGTCATGTCTAACCGTCTAGAGAACCCGATTTTGACCCGGCGAAACCTGCAATTTCCACAGCCTCGTCCCAGCATCTCCTCATCTCATCCCGACCACATTATCCTCACCGGAGATCTGATCGAATCACCCACCGAGGCCTCCTCAGCTTTTTCTTTGTTCCTCCGCAGTAGCCTCCGCTCTAGATT